TAAGACATATCGGTCCGAACCCTTCGCGATTTTCTTGACCTCCTTCCGCGTATAGTTCAACAAGTCACCTCTCAGATAGTCCTTGAGCCTTTTTAGTTCTGGATCCTCATCCTGATGGACTTTAATCCGTATACAACGTTCGTCTCGATAATTGAGTGGCCGACTCGGGTCGTCTACTTGGGCTACCTGTCTGGAACGACTTCGGGTCATAACTATATTCACGGATATCGCTGTCTCGGGTAGAGTCTGAAACGAGGTCACTTGGACGATCATCTTTCGGACTATGACGTGCGTCGTCCCTTCGTTCCGAGGTCTCCGGAGTCTTCATAATCTTCTCCGGGATCCTAGAGACAAATTTCCGATGCATCAGTTCGTCCGCGTCTTCCACCACTCATGCTTTCCCTAGTGCCAATGTCTTCGTCGTCAGGTAATCTGCGGCCTGGTTATAATCACGTTTGACGTGGACCAACCGTACGGACCCAAATTTCATGTTCAAAGCTTCATACTCAGCAAGCCGACGTTGCAGATTCGGCCGGTGGCAGCCTATCAACCCTTGCGCTTGTTGGACTACGATCCTAGAATCGCCGACCACAACTACATCTCTGAAACCACGGTCGGCGACTAGCTCCAGACCTTTGATCAGCCCGTGATATTCGGCATCGTTCACGGTCACATCGTCCAAAGGGAATCCGTGAGCACTCAAGACATTCCAGCCAGGTAAGCGCCACAGAATCCATCCGCAGCTTCCTTGTCTAGTGGAGACCTTGGCTGCGCCATCAAAGCTCAGAACGTATCCTTCAAAGTCTGAATCCAGCATCTCTACACTGATTGGCGGGGGTGCCTTGACTCGCCCCTTGGCCGGGATCAGGTTCTCAGCGACTTCGTCCAGATGCTCCCTGGGGGTGATACCTGCACCGAGGATAGCGGCTAGTCCGTCTTCGTCGCGCTGCACACGGCGCAGTTCAAGAGTCCACTTCGACAATTCTAAACCCCACTTGAGGTGACGGCCGTCGGCGGAATTTGACTTCAATAACCACTTCAGGACCGAATGTCGGGTATAGATTACGATTGGTGTCTCTGAACCGTAGATGAGCGGACGGAATTGTTCTAAGACTCGCAGGATCGCCAACACCTCCTTCTCCGCGATGTGGTATCTAAGTTCAGACTCGTTCAGGACCCTCCCTGTGAAGCGCACTGGTTGAATGATACCCTCATGTTCCTGTCCGAGGACGGCACAAGCCGCCCAGGGGTTTGCATGTGGGATGATGACAAACGGCTTGGTACAATCTGGATGGCGCAGCAGCGGCGTCGATGTGATCTTGCGTTTGAAAATCTCGAACGCTTCCTTGGCCTTATCCAAATCATGTCCGGCACGAATGCAATCCTCATCCAACTCGTAAAGTACAGCCGCGACAACAGGCAAATCCTCGATAAACTTGTTATAGTAATTCAAACTTCCCAAGAACGACTGAACCCCCTTCAGAGTCGATGGGAAAGGTAGGCCTTGAACACACTTGGCAATCTTCGGGGTAGCCCCGATACCCTCCGCACATACTTCGTGAGACAGGTAAGGTATAGCTTGTTTGCCGAACTCGCTCTTCGGAAGACTAACCGTGATATTCCAGTACAGGAGGCGGAATAGCAGGGCATTCAGGTCTTCACAGAGTTTATCCCAGGTAGGCGCCCCATGGGCTATGTCATCTATGTAGGAGCTTCGCCCCAGGACTAATCCCATCTGCGTTGGGGCCGGA